AATAATGCCTCATGCCTCATCTGTCCGGTAACATTTTACAGTGAGAAATTTCAGCATATCAGTGTATCTGAGCATTTACTTATTTACGCCTACACGAGGCTGTTTAGGCAGTTCGCAATACTGTTGTGTCAGAAGTTTCCGCAATTGCCGCGCCTATCTTCACTACTTCTGCGTACAATTTTTACTTCCCTGATAACCCGTGCCATATGCGTAATAATTGTTAGATACTACTGATCGGCCCCGGCCATAGACCTGGTAATTTATAAACGTGTCCTTTAAAGAGGCATGGAACGGCTTAATTAAAGGGAGAGGTTGTATTTGTGCTCAAGAACTACATTTTGGAGACAGGTCGCATGGGAGCAAAGCCCCAAACGTACTGTACCTCAGCGCTAGTTGGAGATGAATGTGTGTTTAGATGAAGTTACCTTTGTACCTAGCAATGCGCCGTGACACCGTATAGAGGACGAATATGGATGGTGTCATGTTTTGCTGAAATGAACAGTTGATTCCTTTTCTGGAAGTCTTTAGAGGAAATAGGGCGTCAATTATGTCAGAATAAATGCGGTGAATTTTTAACCGCGGGAAATAAGAATGTTTCTGTTGTATTTCGCAAATCATTACCTACAGTTCTACTTTGATATAATTAAAAAAAAATGTCAAATTTAATGGGTAGGCCTATTTATTATGTTACTGTAATGTCGTAATAGAACTATGTAAATAATTTACGTATTTTCAGCAAATCGAATAATTGTTCTTCGTTCAGGACCCCAGGAATTACGAACAATATTTCTTCCTGCATTCGATTTTTATTGCCCATCTTATAAGTGAAGAGAGGGCGGGTGAACCAGACGAACCGCCCCATTATAGTTTCAGTACAGAACAAATAACATCAAAGCATAATTCACACCAGTGCCCATGGAAAGTCAGTGGTCACAATTTTAAGGAACTGATGAAGTATAAAACAATTCTATTTTTATAAAAACTTTCAAGTTCTCATGGTTATTTGTAGCTAATTCCCCTTTTTTCTTCTGTGGCGGTATCAAGTTCTTTTTCAACTCTTCGGGTAATTACACTGCTTCCAGCTTCAGGACGAGGTTACTAAGTACGGGCTCGCCTCGAGGCTTTGAATTACAAATATTAATGCCAGGCCGCTGTTTAGTTATCTCACTTTGAATGTTGACAGCCAGATTCTTCGAAACGTCGGCAAACCACTCCACACAATAATAAAAAAATTAATTGCACGATAATTTGCTCTGATGTTGTAGAGTTTATATTAACAATCACAGTTCTGCACGTGTACGTTTAAACCTAGGTCTAATGAGCATATAAGGCCAAAGCTAAGTGAGATGAAGATAGTGTTCTGCCTCAATACATTATTAAGTCATCAGAGCAGTTGAGGAGGGACTTGCGATAGGATGTGAAACGACTAGGTCCATCGGCGAGCCAGAAATAGCGGGCCTACTTGGCACCTCGTGTTCAAGGGTGGACGCAGTAATTCCCTCCTTGTGATGAATCATCCGTGAATTATGAAGGTGCGTTTTCATCATCAAAATAGAGTCCCCATAAAGCCGGTAAAGTTACGTATGCAACTATGGGATAAATCTTTAGTATTTTATAAAAAGGGTAGTTGAAATAGTAAGAGACATTTTTGGAGTTATTTCTTTTCAGTTATTTTTTGTTTCGTCTGTTTATTCTCTTCTCCGTTAAAGAATAGTTTCTCCAAGCCGAAATACGCAATTTCCAAGTTCATTCAATTCTTGCATATCGAACTGTGTAGCATGAGGCGTGACCTGACAGAAATATAAATTATTTTTAAGTGTTTTGTATAATTTCAATGATGGCCCTAAGAGATATTCATTGCAAATTTGGTCCGGAAACAATACTAGCACGTATAATTGCAATATAAGTGTGATATGATATTATGCCACCATCTGATACCAATACCCATGCCTCAAGCATCATTGTCCCATACTCTTTCACGTGCCGAGTGGACCCAACTGGACACTAAGCGAAATTTTACTCCAAAGGAGCCGGGATGGCTCAGTCGGTATAGCCACAGGTTACGGGCTGGGGTTCGATTCCCGACAGAGACAAGAGAGATTTCTCTGCTCCACAATGGCTCTGGGCCTCACGCAGTCTCCTATCCAATGGATGCCGGGGGCTCTTTCCATGGGGTTAAAGCGGTCGCGGTATGAAGCTCACTTCCATCTAGTGCTGAGGTCAAGAATGGTGGAGCTATACCTCCACTTCTCCATGTGTCTTCATAGCGTGATGATTAATTAATTAAACATGTGGACCATTTTAACCTTTTTAACAGGACTCGCTTCGCTGAGACCACGAGAACTGTAATATTTTGCGTTTGTGTAGCACACATTAGCCATGGCATGCCTTGCCAGAGATGTTTGCAGTGACAGAATAGTCAGTGGTTTGTTAATGTTTTGTGAAGAGCAGAGCAGGTTCTGCTCCACTGTTCTACGTCACCAAGTACCTTCGTCTTACAAATATCTCCTTGAGAAGTTAATCTGTAATTACCTTGATTGTTGAACAACTTCCCTGTTTTCATGGACTCCAAAAATTGATTACAGTGTTCACACAGGCCTACTGTTGGACCCATCTTGAGCCATATGAATCCAGTTCAAGTCCTAAAACTTCATTTTAATGTCTTCCTCCCATCTTCACCTTGGTCTCCCCCATGTGTTATATTTCTTAAGATTTTAAGACCAAATATTATGTGTGTTTCCCTTTTCCTCCTACATGCATTTTTTTGTTTCTCACATCTCACCCTCCTTGGTTTAATTGTCCTAATAATATTAGGTAATCACTGAAATATAAAGGTCCCCATTATACCATTCTCTCCTCTTCCTTAGAGCCAGATGTTGTCCTCACAACTTTGTTAGTCTTCATTAATCCAACACTTTGTAAACCGACTTAGCTCTTCTCCTCTAGGTGGCTTATGAAGCAGCTTTGAATATCTCTTATCTGGCGTCGTTCTGTTATATGAACCCAGTTCCTTCTGTATTCTGTACTGCAGCTACATTATCCCTTACAGTTTATCTTCTAACTGCTTCATTCCTTTCTGCTCCAATCTGATGAGGAATTTCAAATGGATCTTAAAATTCCATTTGAATAGTTTCCATTCACTCCACAAAAAGAGCATTCGTATTTTAATAAAAATGGAAAATGTATTCAGTGGAGTTAATATATTTTTAAAATGAGTTCCTTGCTGTTTTGAATTACTTCATTGCTTTGATATTCATTCATTGCAGTCAGAAACTTCCTACAAAGCTAACAACTAATGTATGAAAATAGAAGTTGTAACTCATAATGTAGGAGTATATTTTATGACAGAGTTGAATAAGGAAGTCGGAAACATTCCTGTCAGCAATCCTGTTTCATTATTTCAGTTTCCTTTTTCTTTCCCTTTTTTGCACCATTCAAAACCATTGTTTTCTGTGTTACTTTATATCTGTGAATTTTATGAGTCAGTGAAGTGACTGGCTATATGCTAGGTGAGTGGAATTTGATTCCTAGCAGGATTTTTCTCTTCATCAACATGTACTCATACATGTCCTAAGCAGTTCTGGGGCCCCACCTATGATCTATTGAGCTGACACTAACTGCCCTTTCTCTGGGAATAAATTGGCCAGGGTGTGATCACTCAACTGCATCTAGTGTTGATAAGAATGTATTGATATGTACCTCCACTCTATTATAATTTTTCACCCCCAATTTCAGTCACAGGAACTGAAACTTTCAGTTTTGTTTATTTTAAGGAGAGATTTTTCTGCAACATAATTCACTGACTAACTCCATGAAGCTCAACCCTTCTGCAGAAGCCACCAGTTGCACAGCTACTCAAGAATACCCCAACATTTTATGGAAACAAAAGGTTCATTACCATATTCACAAGTTCCCTCCACTGGTCCCTATATTGAACCAGATGAATTCAGTCCATACCACATCATCCTATCTCTCTGAAATCCGTCTTAATATTATTCTCCCCCATGTGTGCTACGTGCCCTGCCCATGTCATCATCCTTGACTTAATCATTCTAATTATACTTGGCGAAGAGTACAAATTATGAAAATCCTCATTATACTGTTCTCTCCAACCTCCCTTCTTTTCACCCTTCTTTGGTCCAAATATTCTCCTCAACACCCTAGTATCAAACACACTCAGTCTATGAAGAATGCTGTGTTCTGAGATGTGGCGCCATGTAGATCTTGTGTGAACCGATGTTTCGGATGAATGTATCGCCTCCATCTTCAGGGTAGAAAAATCTGCGAGTGATCAACCAGCATGAGCAGGTGGCTACAGACCCTCAGTCTATTTTTCCACAACACAAGGGTGGAAGCCACTGATCTAAAAAGTTGTTCATCTTTTCTACACCTTGAAAATTCACACATTTGCTCAAATTGTAAAATTCTGATCCAACGAAACTCTTTTTCCAAAAACTTTATCTTCTGAGATGTCACAAGGATCAGATTATGCTTCTTTGTAGCTTTTTCTGCATTGTGTTGCAATGGCCATAATAGTACAGCTCTGATTGCTGAATTTTCATTTCGGTCACTAATTCAGAACCTCAGAAATGAAATGCAGCAAATATATGTAATGTAACTGAGCAGGCATTGATGGATTCCATACAGTGGATGTTATATCTGAAGAGCCCTTGTCTTCTGGGATGTGACACCATGAAGTCAAGTAGAAGTTAACTGACTTTTCAGAGACACACTGGTAAATTTCTAGTTTACTACAAGGCATCACACTTTAGAAGGGGGCACCCTTCACAGTCACTGACATAATTAACCCATCCTAAATTATATTTCTTATACCAAATTTTACCTAAATACAAATTACAGTAGTGTTTATTTTCAATGTTTAATAGCCAGTTTTTCTTTGTGAAAATGACAAGCCAGTAATTAACTCCCTTTGATCTATTTGTATATATTGAACCTGTCAATGATCATGCAGTAACAAAAATGGCATCATTTGCTTGCAGGGACCAGAAATGATCCGAGTATCCAAGTTCTACAAGGATTCGAAGGAGGGGAAGTTCATCAGCTCCCTTGATAAGGACACACGAACATTGTATGACACATTCAGGAAAGGTGCCAAGGAGTCCAGTAAGTGGTTGATTCAAGATTTGAGATTCTATTGTCTTGTATTAAAAAATATAGGTTATGTATTTGATTGGTGATAATACTTTGTTACTTCAACCATACCAGTTGTAAAAGGAAGAATACCTTATGGAGCATATATACAGCATATATATTTCTGCTGTTGTTAGCTCTTTAATTAATATAGCAGTAATTTTTCACATTGTTTTGTTGGCTGCAGGATCCATCTTGTCTTTCCATGTGACTTTTGTGGAACATAATTAACATAATTATATGTGTATTTTTATTAATGTGCCTCTTTGGTATGTGATAGTTTAAAAAAGGAGAAGTAATTATCTGAGGGCACTCAGAATTTTTTGTTAACAGAATCCTGCTTCCTCCACCTGGTCTTCATTGGAATTAGGGGAAACTCTTGTCAGATGCGGATTTGCTTACACATATAAAAACAAAAAAAGAAAATTTGCCAAATATGGGAAATTTGAATATATACTCTCTACCAGACATGCTGTACTACTATGCTCAACAACACACAAACTCTAGTATTTTCTCCTAATTTGCCCAACACTTCTGCATGTCTCTCTTCCATCACCCTTTATCTCCAGCAATTTATCCATTTGATTCCAATTACATCATAAACATCACGTCATCATCAATAGAAGTCTTCATCATCACCATTCAAACAGTATGCAATTTATGATAAAGAAACACACACACACAGTTATCTCAGTGGATTAGTACCTCTAGATTTTCAGAGAAGTTAGTCACATAGTCAGAATGATGAAAGCCTATGAACCCAAGTGAGTTTCTCTTGTTTCAGATAATGGTCCATGCCTTGGCTGGAGAGAATCTCCAAACAAACCTTACCAGTGGCTACATTATAATGAGACACTACTCCGAGCTAAAAACTTTGGCTCTGGACTTGTGGCTCTAGGTCTCAGCCCCTGCCCCAACACGTTTATTGGAATATATAGTCAGAACTGTCCTGAGTGGATCCTCACAGAACAGGGTGCATACTGCTACTCCATGGTGATTGTGCCCTTGTATGACACATTAGGTCCTGATGCATGTGCCTATATTATCAAGCAAGGTACGGTGAATGAAAGTTCTGTTCAAAGTATTTACAATAATACAAATCTTGATGTGTACCTACGTTCATAAGAGAGCATTGATTCTTACACAGAATTTCCTTCTTTCAAAATTTTCACTGACATTTGGTTTACTTAACTGGAAGGATTTGAACAAGACATACTGCATGTGACTAAATTTCTTTGTTATTGCAGACATCATTAAAATCTCTGAGATATAACTATTTAGTTGATAAACAGTGTACAGGGTTATTCAAAAAGAATGAACCGATTTTATTATGCAATATTTTATTAAAGGAAATTAATACAAAACTCCAGCCAAGTCACAAGTATTCTACTCACAATCAACTTTTATTTCCTATCTTACAAGTGTTCAATGTGGCCACCACCTGCAGCACGGGCAACATCAATACGATAAGAGAATTCCTTCCAGGCGCGTATCAGCATATCATGATGCACTGAGTTAATCGCTGTTGTTATTCGATGTTTAAGGTCATTGAGGTTAGTGGGTAGCGGTGGAACATAAACGTGATCTTTTACATATCCCCACAAGAAGAAATCACACACGGTGAGGTCTGGGGATCTCGCAGGCCAAGCACAAAGAGCAAGGTCTTGGGCCCCCTTCCGACCAATCCATCGCTGGGGCACTTTTTCATTTAAAAAAGCTCGGACCATCAGGTGCCAATGGGGTGGTGCTCCATCTTGTTGAAAAATTAAGTCATGCGAATCTGCCTTCAGTGAAGTGAATAGCCAGTTTTGGAGCATATCGAGATAGGTTTGTTCTCTAACAGTGTTTCCTTCAAAGAAAAAGGGACCATAAACCTTGTCCTGAGACACAGTACAGAAGACGTTCACCTTAGGGGAATCTCTTTCGTGCTCAACTGTTTCATGTGGGTGCTCTGTTCCCCAAATACGCACATTGTGACGATTGACTGTGCCGCTCAAGTGAAAAGTCGCTTCATCACTAAAAATTAAACGTGAAATGAAGGTTTCGTCTTCCGTCATCTCCAGCATCGCATCGCAAAATTCCATCCGCTTCCTTTTGTCGTCATTGGTAAGTGCCTGAACGAGCTGCAGTCTGTATGGTTTCAAATGTAGACGTACTGTTAGCACACGCCAGACAGTGGATTGAGGGATCGCAAGCTCACGGCTAGCTCGATTTGTTGACTTCCGCGGGCTCCTCTCAAACGCAGCACGGATTCTCGCCACTTGTTCCTCCGAGACTCGTGGTCGTCCTGGACTTTTTCCTTTACACAGACACCCACTCTCTTGAAACTGTCGAAACCACCGTCGAATGTTCTTAGGACAGGGCGGATTAATGCCGAATCGCCTTCGAAAAGCACGCTGCACCGTGACAACCGAATTTGTTTTCGCGAACTCGAGAACGCAGAACGCCTTTTGCTGAGGACTCGCCATTCCGAGGGTAAACGAACAACTGAACGTTGCCGGAAGAACGACGCGACTTCAGCGCCCCTGTGGCAGCCATTCACAACTTAGATAACTCCTCTTTCAAATGGTCACTGACTCATTCCATGACGATGCTTGAGAACTGAAACAATGCGTCATGAAATCGGTTCATTCTTTTTGAATAACCCTGTATTTTCCAGCCTTCAGAAATGCTTAAGCTGCTGAGTGGATTAACAGAGTAAGAAAACATTCTGTTGCATTACTGCTGAGCAAATTAGTTTAAGTAGAAACACTATGAATCCTATTTTGAAGATTTATGTTTTTCACTCCTTAGCTGTCAGGGACCATTTCGAATGTGGTTCCTCATGGTTTCCTCCAATTCCTTCGAAAATTTTTTAATTTACCATACATAACCATTACCAAATTTTAAGTGATACTAAATAACCTCGGTATGATATATGATTAGCGTGTAAATTGCAGCTGTAGTCTTCACTTTCCATTTTCCCTTGGTGTGTCAAAGTTTCACTGTCATATACTATAATTGGTTTCATGACAATTTTATATGGTCTTATTTTACTCAAAACCATATGCAGTGAATTTTTCTTCAGAATTTTACAGTTGGGTAAATACCAAATTTGGGTTCAGATATAGTATTTAATTTATTACGTTCATTATCTTTATTACATAATTAAAAATGATAAGAATTTCACAGATGTTTTCAGTAGTATTCTCATATCTCCTTCAGTCTACCATGAATACCTCAAATAGGCAGCCAGTGATGCCAGATATTTTTTATTTCATAACAAGAAAATCTTCAATAAGTTTGTACAAAATATAAGTATACATGGCTCTGGGTGAAAGCAAAGTTAGAGAATGTACATGTAGGTGTGCTCCCTACCAAGGAGATGAAGACACAACTGAGACCAACAGTAAAAGAAATATACATATGTAACTAATGTTATTATGTATCCACAGCGGACATTCATGTGGTAATCTGTGAGGATGACACAAAATGTAACCTACTACTGGATAAATCTCCTCGGTGTCTGCGCAAGCTTATAACCATCAAAGAGACCCGACCAGCCACAAACCAGAGAGCAAAAAACAGAGGGGTTGAAATGCTGCGTTTTGAGGATGTGGAGAAACTTGGAGCAGCCAAAGATAACCCAGAAGTGGTATGTTGAACCTTATTTTAGTGAAAACAGCAGTGATATTACCTGTCTAGTTTGTTGCATTATAATTGTTAAATTACCTCACCTTTAATGCTGAATATTTCACATACTGCAAGGAAGAAGTTGATGGCATTCACAAGTTAAGTTATTTTAGTAGATATATAGCAACTCTACCATCTCATTACCACCTTCAGCAGCAGCGGCACATATTCTTAAGGCACACAGTATAGAAATGAAAAGAAATCAATTTCAAAATGGAATAGGGTAAAAGTAAAATATGTGTACAATATAATTTAGAATTTCATGGATTCAGACACAGTGTAAGAACAGAAAATTATAGACTTCTTGAAAGAGGATTTGAATTGGAAGACAAGGGAAAGATGAAGGTGTAATTTCATGTATCAATCAGAGGAAATGTGGTCAAATGACAGAGAAAGGAAGTGAGTTCTGCATATGCACACGGCATACTAATTGTGTTGTAATACAGTCTGAAAGTGCCACACTGTTAATTCCAAATGTTACCGGTATATATACTTCCAATTCACTCCTGATTTACATCCTCACAATCAACTGTACTAAGATTCATTTTTAATATTTTTCTTTCATCACTTGGTCTTTTCAGTGGCTTCTTTCTAAGAAATTTTCCCTACTAAAATTCTGTATACATTTCTTTTATTCTCCATCTGAGTTTCAAGACCACATTGTAGCCTAAATGGTTTCACTATCATAACAGTTACTCATGCTGCCCATCATCATCACCATCATCACCACATCTTCTTAAATTTTATAGATGTTATGTGAGATTTAATGTTGTAGATGTGACTTATTTAGAGTGTCTAATTCTTGGAAGTAATCGTAGTAATTATGTTTTGTCCGCAGCCTCCCAAAGTGACAGATCTGTGCACAATATGCTACACATCAGGGACAACAGGCAATCCTAAGGGAGTTATGCTGAGTCATGAGAATGTCGTAGCAGGAATGTGCGCTGTAATCCTGCAGCTTGGGGACCACAGGCCCCGGTCTGATGACATCATGATGTCATTCCTACCATTAGCACACATGCTGGAGCGGTGTTGTGAGGTAAGTGAACTGTATCAGTATGGTAGACATAAACGTCCCAGGTAGGACGAAATTATAATTCTCTAGATAGAAAATAATGCTTATAAATAATGACATAAAAAAGATTACATTTGTAATTCTTTCCTCCTCCTGACTTTGAAAAATTAAAATAACCTTGTAAGATTCGAGGTTTACACAGTGGTGACTGCTTTCCTTAAAATAACCTTGTCTCTTCCAATTCCTTGAAATGTAGTAGAAATGTGTTAGATCTCTACTTGCTACCTGCTTCATGCTAGTTTTTTTGCTTGGCTTACTCTTTGGTGCTGAAGATGGAGGCAATATTTTCCTCTGAAATGCTGGTTGACCTTCATTGGATTACATGGCATTATAGCTCAGTGTGTTCTTTTATTTTATAAGCTATGTCTACAGTTGTATACCCACAAATATTAAGGCATGTTGATGAACACTCGTGTTTCAAATTCAAGAAATATCAGTTTCCAGATTTGACCTGGTGCTAAAACACAGAAAATATAGAGACATATTCTGAAGGATAATTATTATGAAAATTCAAGGAAATGTTTTATCTTTCAAGGTTTTTTGCTTATAAAATGCAAAGGAACTGTTACAGCATATATGGACATATTGTGTTAGGTAGACAGATTTAGTTTTAATCTAAGTGATTCTACATACTAGAACTATGTTCCATGTTGTATAGGTGATGCTATGCATTCTCATTTTCCATATGAACTGGTCCACAGCCAAGACATTAATAACTGTATATCTTCAGAGTTCTCCTGAATGAAGGTACCTCACATGGAAAGCATAATACATGTGAACCCCAACTTAGGAACATAATGCGTTCTTTGAAATGTGTTTATAGGTTGAATATTCATAAGTTGAATTTATTTTTTTTTTCATAAGACATATCATTAAATCTGTTATTGTTAATTTTAAAAATGTTCACATTCACGGGGTTCTGTGTTCATTAAATTAATTAGGAGTCATGATTTATTAATTCATGCAATGCTCATAAATATGAATTGTTCATTTCTTGACAGTTTGTAAGTAGAGATTTGCCTGTATAATGAAGAATAACTGTTTTTTTCAGAGTGTATGTAGCCCATTTACCCATCAGAGATTGCTGCCCTTATTGAATGTGCTCACCCTTGGTATTTAAATTGCAGAATGGCATGTACCTACTAGGAGGGGCAGTAGGATTTTTCTCTGGTGATATTAAGAGGTTATCTGAAGACATGAAGGCACTTCGCCCTACAATGATGCCAGCAGTTCCACGTTTGCTGAATAGAATTTATGACAAAGTGATGACAGAGATTAGTGGATCCTTCATCAAGAAGATGCTCTTCAACATGGCCATGAGTGCAAAGGAGAGTGAACTCAGGAGGTGAGCATTCCTTCTTATAGAAGACTTTACACCATCAAAGGGCCGATTTAATTGGGGGGGGGGCTACTGAGTGAGATGTATGGACTAGTGGAAAACCTACATGGTAGGTAGAGACCAAGAAGAAATAATTTATAATTTTAGATAATGTGTGGGCTTTCATGTTTTAGTTAATCTGACAGTTCTTTAGCATGGTATAAAACTTTTAAAGTTTGCAAAATACACTCACTATTAAATTAACAGTTTTGGGGTTGCTGAAAAGATAGAATGTCTATAAGTATGGCTCATCAGATATCCACAAAATCTTGAAATATTCCCAGAGTAAAGAACAGAGTTAATAATCATGACATGTGTTACAGATATGCTTCTTTTTGTTACAGGGGCATAATTCGAAATAACAGTTTTTGGGACAAATTGGTATTCAGAAAAGTGCAAGAGGGGATGGGTGGCCGATTACGTCTCATGGTAGTGGGCTCAGCACCTCTGGCAGGCAACGTGCTCACATTTATTCGCTGTGCTCTTGGTGCTCTGGTAATTATAAAAATGTCCACACAGCTGTAGAATTAAGGTGCATATTTGCATGGTTTCTTCTGCAAAAATGCTGGACTTGTAACTTAATATACATAGGCTGGATAAAAAGTAGTGGCAACACCTCTATATTTCTGAAATTCCTTTATTACCTTAGGTAAACACATGTACATTCCTTCAATATAATCGCCCCCCATCGCCAGCGTCGAAGGAGATCCTTGACAGCGTCAGCAGTATGAGCCCTTGCATTGTCATGAAGGATGATGAGGTTCGTTGCCAACAAGTCACTTTCTCATGAGTGCTGGGCGAAGATGATTATGCAGGAAATTGCAGTAGTAGGCAGCGTTTACTGTCTGTAGTTGAGGTACAGTGTGGTGCAGCATCACTCCATTAATGTCATATGCCACGATGAACATCGCCTTCACATTACTCTGTGTAGGGCACACTTTCTTTGGATGAGGAGAGCCAGGATGCTTCCATTCATTTGACTGTCGCTTCAAGTGCGGTTCATATGAGCGAGCCCAAGTTTCGTCCAGAGTGACGATCCTTCCGAGGAAGTCGTCACCTTCCCTCTGGTACTGGTCCAACAAGTCCTGTGCAATTGCATAACGTTGCCATTGTTGCACCTCAGACATTGTATGGGCTACCCAACGCGTTGCAATTTTGCAATATCCAAGAATATCGTGCAGAATGTGGAGCACAGTTTTGTGACATACACCTACCTCAGCAGAACTCCCGCGCAGCCCCTCAACGATCGACATCCAGCAAAGAAGCAAGAAGCTGCATTGTGTAGTTGTCAACGTGGGGTCACCCTGAACGATGGCTGTCCTGAGTGGCATCCCTCCCTTCACAGAACAATTTCACCCAACGTGCCACTGTGCGATATGGCAAAGCAGCATCACCACATGCTTTTTGCAGTCCCTGATAAGAGTTTGGTGCACTACGGACCTCATGCAACTTCAGTTCTTATCCAGGAGCATTGTTCTTGTTTTGTAAACGTTCTTAGGGCGCTCGAACTGGGCTCCTGCACTTCAAGACGATGCACAATGCAACTCGGTGAAACACAACCAAAGCCACTCACGGCACTACTTCAACTGAACTTCTGCTATCAGCTACAGACGGCGCTAGTGCCACCTGATGCACATCTCTCATGTTACAGCAGTGTTGCCACTACTTTTTATCCAACCCTTGTAGATCATAGCAGCTTTCTTTCATATCCTTCCCAATTCATCATGCAGAATCATTCTCCCTTTTGAAGTTGTATAAGTCATGCAATGGATAGAGTGCATTAAGTAATCTAAGAAACAAGGAACTATTGAAGAGTCCTATAGAATAATATGGTAGGAGGTAGAGGAGGAGGGGGGGGAAGGGTGAGTGCACCAAACATCCATCCCTAGGCCAGTGTAGCAAACCTTGTTCCTTGTTTCTTTTGGGTTAATCAAAATACTGGACAGCACTGAATTAAAATGCAATAGAAAATTGAATGAGAATAATCACATTTAAAATGCCTTAGTTAACTAGTTAGTTATTTGAATTATGTACTTCTTAATTTTCAAATAAAACAGCTATTTCAGTGCAACATTCCAAATGAAGTATCTGCATTATTGGAAAATATGAAGCCCTAGAGATATTAAAATTTGTTTCGATTATTTCTTTTCCATTCTACACATAATTAGTATCTTAAAATATATCACTATGTAAGATTTGAGGTTTTCATGGCTGTGGCTATGAAGAAAGCAGTCTTCTGGGATGTGGCGCCGTGTAGATGTTGTGTTAACCGATGTTGCGGAGGAACGTATTGCTTCCATCTTCAGGGTAGAAGGAAAGGAAAAAATCTGCTAGTGAGGAACCAGCATGAGCAGGTGCTAACAGACAACGCTTCCACATCCCAGAAGGCTGCTTTCTTCTTTATATCACTGTTCTTACACTACCCCAGTGGTGCATTATGCTCTTAAGATGGTCACTACTACATAGAATTACTTAAATATTTAGGGAGATGGTAAATAACAACATGTCAGCTGTAAGAATTAGTTTGGTATCATAATAGTAAGTGAAAATTGTATAATAGCATTTTACAACTAATCTGCTACTAATACAGATTGTTTTAAAACCAACTAGATCTAATTCTTTGGCACCATGAGATCACTGTTCTAACCGCAAGTGTTAAAAGTTGTTCCTGTTTGCAGATTGTGGAGGGCTATGGCCAGACAGAATGCTGTGCTCCTATAACACTCACAGTCCAGGGGGACCATGTTCCAGAACACGTGGGTCCCCCTGTAGCGTGCTGTTGTGTTAAACTGGTGGATGTACCAGAAATGGAGTATTATGCTGTCAATGGGCAAGGAGAGGTCTGCGTGAAGGGTACCAACGTGTTCCAGGGCTACTACAAGGAAGACGAAAAGACAAATGAGACAATAGACTCAGATGGTTGGCACCACACAGGAGATGTTGGAATGTGGCTGCCTGTATGTACTGTAATGAATATTTTGACATTCTACATGCATATATATAAAAGAAAGGGTGCCTTATAAAAACACTGTATTTTGCCTGCCTGTACATAACTTCGCCAACAAGGAGTAGTCACTTGGTCAGTATAGTTTGCTTGTGGACTCGAGCCATGGAGGTTTTTTTTTTAATACACACGTACACAGCTGCTTGGATTCATCCATGAAATCTTGGCTCAGTGACCAACTATCCTGACTGAGGTCCTTTGTAGTTATAATAACAATTGACACAGGCTATCCTAATCCATAGCAACTTTCGTATTTATACAAGTTAACTCTTTTCAGATCAGATTAACTTTTATAATCCACTGCTGGCAGGCCAGATTTCTGTAGAACTTAACAAAATGAACATACCTACTATGCAGTTAGGAGTATAAGTGGGAGTTTGCTTTAATACATTTCAGAATGAAATGAGAATCATCAGACATAATTAGTTGATGCTTGATCTTAATCCTTGATATATGGAACATCATCGAGTAGAATACCAGAATCTACATATTGAAGTAGAATTGACGCTACATGTGGCCTAATACTTTCACAGAATCTAGTGCTATGTGCTGAAAAAATTAAAACTTTATGGTGCAAAATATAGCCAAAAGATGGTATGAGAGGACAGTATTTTTCACATTTCTCTGAGATATATATGAGAAAAGTGGGAATATGGGGGGGGGGCACATTATTATGTCACAGACATGAACAGGTTACAGACCATTCTTCAGAAAATATTGTAGTGATTGGCATGCTTTGTTCTTTACAGAATGGGACACTGAAGATAATTGACAGAAAGAAGCATATCTTCAAGCTGTCACAAGGAGAGTACATTGTTCCTGAGAAAATAGAGAACATTTATATTCGCAGTCAGTATGTTCAGCAGGTGTTTGTGTGTGGGGAGTCTCTCAAGGTAAGTTGCTTAGATCTTCTATAACATGATCTAAACCAACATAGACTGAGTTTCTGTTAGATTTGTGCACATCAATGTACATTGATTGCATTAATTGAATCTACATTAGTTCTAAATATATTTCAGCATAGTTTTCTTATTTTATAAATAAAGACAGGCTAATGGTATCATCATATCTGCATGTTTGCTTCTCTCCAATAACTTTTGAACCATTCGATAGATCTTCATGAAACTTTGTCTTACCTTCATGTCACTAGTAGATTTTTGTATTTATTAGCTTCCTAACATCAATAAATTTGACATATGTTCATGCAAAACTTCTGAATTGGAAGAAATACTAGCACCACTTATGTTGAATCCTGAAAATTGTATGGTAGAAAATTGAATATGCAACTTTGATGCATGTGTGCCATAGTTAGCTTCCAGTTTGATAGCAATAACTAATGATGGAGTTAGGCATGTGGAGTTTTGTTTTAATGGAGATAGGTAATAAAAATATTTCCAGTTTTGTGTGAAACATTTTTAAATCTTAGGAATTAGAAATATGGTCACAGTGCAACATTCTCTCTAGAAAGAAACTTTTCCGGTCATCACTTGTGAGTTCAACTCATACGTTTGCTATTAAAGCAAGAGTAGAAAAGTATATTTGAGTGGAGTCACATTGCATGATCAGAGATTTGTATTCCTTGGAGTCTCTTAATTATCATATATAAAAAAGTGACCACAAATAAGAATAGCAGGTTTAAAAAATATGTATACTTTTATGTGGCGTATCTACTAATTTTTTTTTATATTATAAAATGTTTTTGAGAAATTTAATAGAAGTTAAGTTTTTGAGTCCCAGTAAAGTAAATTTATAATTGGCTGTTATGCAAGGTGTACATTGCTCTCCAGTGAACCTCAAACAGATGAAGTAAATTGCTGAAAAAGAACATTTTAAATGTTTAACACTTCATGCATAACAAATTTGCCATCTGCTGGACCCTGGAAAAGATATATTTTAATTCATATTCTTATATTTCAGTATTCAAATTCTGTTCAAATTTCATCACCAATTTGATCACATGGTTGCTAATAATTTAAATTTTTATTATAAAAATTCTCATAATCTCTAAATACAGATTGATTACAAGTACCAACGTTACAGAAGGCTCATGTACATGCATATTCTTATTGCAGTCATGTATTGTTGCCGTGGTAGTGCCTGATGTGGATGTTATTAAGAGCTGGGCATGTGAGAATGGGATTCCTGGTACACTGTCTGTCTTATGTGCACATCCTGAAGTAAAGCAGCTCATCATGGATGACATGGTTAGCTGGGGCAAGGAGGCAGGACTCAAGTCATTTGAACAGGTGTGTGGTTAACACAGTCCCACTGGACTGCAGAATGCATTCCATAATTGCTTCCTCCTAGTGACTCATTCAGGTATGGAAACTAATGGGCTTAAGAATGGGAAAGCTGGATGAAAATATGAATAAGAAGATGTAGAAGTCCACTTGTTTTCAAAATGAGTTCTTAGTTATTTTAGATCACTCATTGGTCTTGATGTTCATTTCTTGCAGATATAATTATATTTTTGAAAGCACTGAGCTACACTCCACACAGAAGAGTACATTGTCTGTCATTGTATTCCCTTAAACATGTACCATATTAAAATATTTTTCAAATAAAAATTAAAGATACATTAAGGCATAATAATACATGATATTTCGTTGTGTGATCAATCATTCTGAAAAATATGTGGATGTTCAATTTCAGGTTTATTTAAAGCAGAGACTGTAGTCAATTGATGCAGAATGAAATAAATTTTGTGAAAGACTTTAATGTAAGCATCCAGTACCAAGTTTAACTGAAACTTATTAATTTGTTTGGCACTTTTATCACTAAAACTACTTGATGAAAATTGGTGGTAAGGATCAATGCTGAAATTTGTCAAATGAATTCAATTTTGGTTCATGTTCCTGCAATGTAACCTCACTTTTACAAGATGCTCAGATCAGACTTCATAATTTTTCTCAAATGTGGCCCATTGTTCAGAACATGAGTACATAATGAAAGCTGTAGATCTTATTCTCCTTGTTCTGAAAAATGGCACAGCTTACAGAAAATAAATACAATACCATACAATGAATTTTGCACCATTTATATTACACCCGTCCCCACACGCTTAACTTCACGCGGTGTATGCCTCGACTAAATTCAGCGGAATGAGTCTTACATCCCAGGGGTACACGGGTGTTGGCTCGCTTACGTCGTTTTTTGGATGCGGGCTCGATCGGTTAACCCCCTAGCACAGGTTCCACAGGAACACCCTCACTACCTGGCTTCTACTCCCTGACCTCTAGGCTTCCACTCCCTGACTCCCCCGGCTTCCACTCACTGACTAACTCCTTACCCCCGCTGCTGCTTCCAGAAACCACGTTCTTAGCCATCTCGAACTTTCCACTGGGAGGGCTTCATGACCAAATGCACGGACCCCTTCCGGTCTGCACACCTTCTAGAAGTTTCTCGAAGCTTCGATCCACAGGTCCTCCACCCCCACAGGCACGGACGAAAGAAGGTATACCTACTCCCCCTTGAATGCAATGGACTCACCAACCTCCCTTCAGTCCTTCGCAACAAAAGGCCAGTTCAGAGGACCATGATCCCTCCGGGGCATCTCACTTCTACAGCTAAACTTAACTGTTACTTACAAACAAATTAGACTTTCCGTGAAGGGTGCGTACGGTTACAATATTTTGAATTACTATAGTGTATAGTCAATGAAGTACAAAGAAAATAACCTCAGTTAAACACTGTGGACTCTTGACTGTTTGAAAGTGTGTCAGAATTGAAGGATGAATGTTTGGGAATGATGGTAACATATAAATTATATTTGTGAAGAAATTATGTGCGGATTAAATAAAAAAGTGCTTACTACAATTCAATTCAGAGTATTATGTCTTCCTGTCTCCTATCTGAAAAATCAGTGGTTAAAAATATACACAGTTGTTATTTTGTGTGGGTGTGAAACCTGTTCTCTTACCCTCAGGGAAGAACATTGACTGAAGGTGCTTGAGAACGGGGTACTGAGGAGAACGTTTGGACATAAGAAAAAAGAGTGAAGAGACTGGAGTAAACTGTATAATGAGAAACTTCATAATTGTTCTTTTCACCAAATATTAATAAGATGATCAAATCAAGAAGGAAATTTTCTTATGTACTCATTTGTTGAATAATAACAAACTTAGTAATAGCAAGTATAAATTCTTATTTTGACATCTTATGTGACTTTCATCCTGCTTATTCATTTCAGGTAAAGGATATCTACCTGCACCCTGACCCATTCTCAGTTCAGAATGGTCTGCTAACTCCAACATTAAAAAGCAAACGCCCTCAGCTCAAGGCCTACTTCAAGCCCCAGATTGAGGACATGTACACAAAACTGACATAGAAGGAAAGAGCAGCTGGATTGTTGGCAAAGAGACTTTGTGACAACATAAGTATGCTTTGATCCATTTTCTAAAACCTCGGTGAACATACACCCCTGTGATTGGAAGCATACAGGAATATAGAGTTAAAACTCGTCCAGTTCACATAGTTGAATAAACTTGTACATAGTTCTAGGTTTCTTTGTCTTTCCCCCCCCCCCTTAATTTTATAGTTCCATACTTCCTTACACAAGAGTTTATGTGAAAATGGTTCAGGGACATTTATGTCTTTTGTAAGTAATATGTTAGTTGTACATATGGCTAAGGGATGATTTCTGAGGAACTCCTGATTAGCCAGAAAAACTATAAAAGAAACATTGATTTATTTTTTACTCTCTTTAACATTAGTAATGCTGGTTTCCAATGAGTTGTCAACTCTGAGTTATTGGACAAGTATGAACAGTGTTACAATAGAAGAGACTTCTTCATGGCAGGCAAATGGTCTGACCTAACTATTTGAACAGAAACCCTGACCATGGCTATATTTGTGGGAAGTGGTTTGACTTGTGCATTTGATGAACATAAAAACAGCTACTTCATGATGGTACAGTTTTTTGGCTGTTTAATGGTTGTAGAGATGATGTATTACTGAGTAGCTACAGTTATCTCTCAGAGCAGGGTCTGTGTAATATTACCTTCACGAAGTCATATGACTGAGACTTTAAATGTGCAAACCATTTTTACAGAATGGAGAACAGGTTGTTTAAAACTGATACTGCTCTAGCACTGAACCAATACAATGCACTTTTTCATCAAAATAATGAGCTTGTGTCTGATAGTGAAACAATCTTATTATTAGTTTGTGATTTTTTGTTGTCTTTATCTGGGTCGACCATATCTGGATGTAAAATTCAAAACAGCTTTCTGATTCAACAGTGTTATAGAGTGTGAGGAAGTTTTAATTGAATCACTATTTGTGTCTAATCTGAAATTAGGATGCAGAGAAGGATACATATTAATGGTCACCACATTACCATTCAATGGCATTTCATTCAGGAAGTTTGGACATTGTAGAAATTCAGTCATCAGTATTAATACCAGTTATTGATCCAAAGAAATTGTATTATGCTTTGTCCTATACATTTTCAGTAAGAAAAACGTATTTATTGGGCAACAGGATTGGAGATGGTATAGACAAGGTCGCTAGTATACAAGGCAAGGTACATATTGTTATTTGAAATATATTATTATGCTGGAAGAAGGTGAAGCAAGAAAATTATTCTGTGTTTACTCTTTGCTGACAAATGAACATCTTTATGATAATGGTAACATTCAGTCACAAGGGACAAGCTTATCAATAAAAATTTGAATTCTGAGTCTTGTGGTTGATAATATTGAAAATGCAAGAGGCCATATAAAAATGTATGAAGTAACAAAAACACAGTGTATAAAAAAAATTTGTATGGAAATGTAAAATTCTGGAAAAGGTTTGTTTTGTCTACATCAAATCTACATTTCCTTTCAGAAATAGCTAAAAGGCAAAGCTATTCGTGTAGCCAGCTATGGAGGCCCATAGGGTTGTGAGGAATGGAGGCTCCCATATTTTCTAGAAAATGGGCTCACAGATGACGGATGGTGTGATTGTCAGCCTTATGCCCTGGCTGCCCTTTACCCCCAGGAAGATTCGTGATACTAATTTCTGTTAGAGGCTGAGTTGACCCCAGGGCCATAGTGCAGTTAAAAGGATTAGGTCAATTGAAAAATCCAGTGACCTCATTGGGGATGAAACTCATGACCTTCTGGCTTGTAGCATAGTGCCTCTATCAACTATGCTACTGAGCAGCCCCTCTCAGAAACAGCCAGGACCTTTTAAACCATTTATTTCAGATACAGTATACAGGGTTAGTATAAAAAAAATAGACACTTTCAACATTTTATAGCAACCAAAGTATAATTGATATAGCCAAAATACTTACATTGAATGTAGTATATATCTTCAAGTTTGCATAATAAGTTACAAATATTCTATGTGTGGGACTTTTGTTATGCAGCAGATATCAATACGATAACCCAGTTTGTTCTGAACACCGCTCAACAGACCAGAGTATGACACTGACAAGTTGACCACCAAGAATTCCGATCTAACTCCCACTAATTTTATCTTGTGGGGATATATCAAAGACAGAGTTTTTTTTCCTCCACTTCCTGTAAGTGAAAACAGTCTAAAGCAATGCATCACGACTGTTAGGTGTGTTGATGAGGACATGCTCTGGTGTGTTTGGAACAAATTGGATTATCATATTGATATCTGCCATGTGACAAAAGGCTCACACATAGAACATTTCTAACTTAGTGATACAGACTTAAAGACATATACTAAAAAAAACATGCAAGTATTTTGATTACATAAACAATACTTCGGTTTCTATAAAATGTCGAAAGTGTCTATTTCTTTTATACTGACCCTGTATAACTTTTCCTAAAACACTTCTGTAGACATCATTTGATGCCATATGAATAAATTCAACTTCTACATTTGTATTCACATGAAGTTCATAAACTTATGTTCTTAGTAAGAAACTTCATTTGGTTCTAATAAATTCTTTTGTTCATATTCGCCTCCATCCTTTTTAATTACAAGTATCAGAATAAACTGGAAATTTTGAATTAAAAATATATTGTATTTGACAGTCCAAAATATTACAGGTACAAAAATGATCCCACATTGGGCTTTTAATATTGCATAATCAGAATATATGGTCACCCTGCATTAGAATCAGTGCGGCATGAAACCAGAATGGGAGAAAGTGACTGTAAAGTTGATTAATTTTCTTCCTTCAAACATCTGAAACTGATAGTCTTAAAATGTTACAATTCTTAAGGAAAGCAGTACCTTCAAATCTTCTGCAGGTGCTTCACTACTGCCTAATTGCATGCAGTCCTTAGATTGTGACAGAGTCATCAAATTATCTTCTCTCAAATTCAGCCTGGAAAGTGACAAGATGTTGGTTTCATCAAGAATACTTACTTGGATAGTGTAATTCGTACTGGAGGACTGAGGTGATCGGTTTAAGACCTGAGTGTTCTTCATTTCACAACAGTGGGTGCTACATTAGGAACAGATATTTATCTTATGTCTTATTGAACATTGTTGATATCACTTCAGTATATTCCATTTCTTTAGTCTCTCAATTATTGCAGCTCTTTCTGCCTGCATTGTTTGAAATCTTCTAGTCTAGTCTTCTATTTCTTTTGTCTTCATACAGGAGCGCACACACGCTCATGAAGATTATTAAGTTTGAATTAAATTGAAGCATATTTTGTAGTGGCTATACTCTCTGCCCATGAATTAGGAAAATATGTCATTAGATTCATGATTTCTTCGTTACTTTCTCTGCCTAGATGCGTAATATTTCCTTATTTCAATCACATTTTTTCTGACATTTATCAGATACTAAACTGGTGGTGTAATGGAGCTATAAAATGTGATTTTCTTGCCAAGTATATTGTAAAATCGGGTTTGATTCTTAAGTTTCTTGTATGCATTTTTTAATATAACTGGAATTGAATATTATGATTTTAGAATATTAAAATATCTTCTCTGAGAAATGCCAATGTCAAGAAAATATTATTCGGTGTTCTTTTACCAGTTCTGTGGCCATGCCCTCCTTAGATCTGTTATGTGAACCCAAGAACATTTCATTTCCTCCACTTGACCTACACTTTTACCTTCCCTGATTATTGATCACAAACTCGAGTGTTATTTGAATCACCATTGTCTCTCACCTGAAGTTTTTCACATCTTTACACCATCCTCAGTATACATTCATCCAAATCTGTCATTCTTGTGAACTGCTACATATGATCACAGCAAGAACATATTTCAGTCATTTTTTAGGTTGGAGAGAGTACATTGATTAATAAAACTCACAAACTTTATAAAGCATTTATTAATATTTAATTTTTTAATCCTGTTATACTTTTCACTTCATATCTTAATAGCCATGTCTGTGTTGGATTTGAGGCTCTCACAGCAGTAATAATGTCATGTAACCATATGGCACTACATCCCAAAAGATAGTTATGACTAGTTGAGTCTTCTGTTTCATCATGTATGAGTACAATTGTAGTATGTGGGGGTAACTGGGTGCATTGTGTGCTGAAGTAAAGAAATCATTACATTCCATTTAGAGATAAAGTACTGGCATTTTTGTCATCAATTTCTTAACATGGTACACAGTAACAGATAAATATAATTGTGATGGCTGATTCAGGAGCCAAAAAATGATCACTATATAATTCTTTCATTGACACGAATTTTGGGATGCACAGAATGGGGCAGATGTTGCCACCTGACTTTATCTCCCTTATTTTTATGTTATCAAAAAGCGTTTCCAACTAAACTTGCAGAGTATCGAATAGCGCGTAAGATGAGGGATAAAATTGTTTTGTACATGGGGGCATTATGGATACATCAGAGCCTCCTTGGATTTTGTAAATGACACTTTACGTTTTTTCATAGCATTTTAGAGAAGACAGAGACAAACTAAGTGACATGTTATATTGCACAAGGTCATTCAAGCCCACAAAAGAAGAGTACCAAAACTCAGGCTTCTATGGCTTAATTTACATTATTTTGTAATAGATACTCAAAGTGATAACACTCAGAAGTGATACTGTGTTGTAGTAATTCATTACAAGATCCAGAGATACTTTAGGTGGCAAAAGATATTGCCTCATCCTCTATATTAACTACTTCATGTAGAGGAATTGGTCTTTTAAATCTAGCAGTATAATCTTTCTGCATAATTAACAAAACAAATGAATAATTATGTCTTATATGCCTATCCAACATATTTGTGCAACCTATATATTAATACTTAATTATCAGAAAAGGCGGAATTAACCTTTTCACTATTGATGATTTAAATTTCATTGTATTCTAGTGGTATGGGCTTGGGAATTCTGGAATGTGTGTGTGTGAGGAAACTGGGACAACTCAAAAACCCAACTTTCCCACCCAGGCTAGGAAACCTTATTGCAATTCTGTCCACTGCAGAATCCAACAAGAAATTGAATGTAAATCCAAAAAGTGGAAGGGTGATATGTAAAATCATTGCCTAGGCTAAATTTGATTTGTTATATTCCGATTGTAGAAACATATTTCTTGAAGCGTTCTGTCTTCTGGGTTATAGCGCCATGTAGTCGGTGAAAATCAACCAACGTTTCAGAGGGACATTTCACATCCCTCTTCGGGGTTGAAGAGTAAGTTAAGCAACCAGCCAACATGAAGCAGGCAGCTAGCAGGGTAAGCCGTGTGGGGGGAAATATATCTCCCAAAACAGAGCCAACAGACACAAGGTCAGAACTTTTAAGGTGATAATAGAAACTGATACTGTGACATCTGTGAGAGGTAGTAAAATAATTATGTATGATGAGGCAGATAAGACTGGAAGAGATCATAATTTATGTTACGACATTATCCAAAAATTGGCCTAGAAAAGCTACATGGGAGAATGGAACTGGGAAATCCTCAGTTAAAGCAATTCTTCAGGTCAGTATTGAAATTATGAACCTCCAAAATGCAAGGTGAATTCTCTACCACATTGCTAGGTCTGCTTCATCATGTGAAAATGACAGAATATTTGTGCGTGCGTGTGTGTGTGTGTGTGTGTGAGGGAGTTAACAAGGAAAACAAAAGTCTGCTGTTTGCTTTAATTTGTAAAATTGTTTCTTCAAATGAGTTTCAAGCAGAATAGACAAAGATGATGGGAAAGTAAAAAAGGAGATCTGTGAATTTGTGAGAAATTAATTTTAGAACTGGATGAGATTTGAGGCTGTCACAGCAGTGAACATTAAGGTAGTGTCTACATGAGCGCACAAAATGCGTCTGTTGTAACGAACGTACTTTGCTGAAGTCACCACACAGTTGCAGAATGTGGTGCGTAGTTTCATTACAGACAAAAAACTATGCACCGCATTCTGCAATTGTGTGGTGTCCTCAGCAACGTTCTCAGCAAAGTATGTTCGTTACAATGGACGGATTTTGTGCGCTCATGTAGATGCTGCCTAAGACTGCGTCTTTTTGGATGTTATGCCACATAGTCTGGTAGACAGATATCGTTTCAGAGGAACCTTGTACTCTGAAGATGGAGAAAATGTTGGTGCTCCACTACCGGACTACATGGTGTCCTATCTCAGAAGACTGCAATCTTATATCAAAAACCCTTAAATATGATTCAATTAGTACAATCCTTACATTACTGGCACAGGAAAATGTGAGAAAGATAATCCCCCCCCCAAAAAAGAAACTTGTCTATTGTAGATTACACATGGAATTGTGAGATCACAATTTGGGGAACACTGTTGAAAATTTCATGTGTTATCACACGATTGATGAGATCTAACGTCATTCAGAGCCTTTGTTTTTTTTTTAATTGCTAGTGGGGTGGGACTAAGTCCCTTGTACTGCAGCCACTTCTGGCCAATTGTACCAGCCCCAGATGATAGGTGAGGGTGATTGTGGAGCAATAGGTGGAATGAAGATCGGCAGGGGAAACCGAAGTACTTGGAGAAAACCTGCCTTAGCGCCACTTTGTTCACCACAAATCCCACTTGACCAGACCCAGGATCGAACCCATGCTGCCGCAATGGGAAGCAGCCTTTGTTCTTGCTCAACAAAGCTTTCACACATAATTTAACAGACAAATTTAGTTCATCCTTGCAACTGGAGGGGGTGGGATGAAAATTAAAAACTTTTATTACATTTTATTTTGAAGCACATAGAAATATTTCATCCTCAAAGTGACAGAATTAAATCTACTAAAAAAAAGTACAGTTGAGAGGTGAACACTCCTGTGTTTGAATTTGAGCTCAGATATTGGCTATATTGTTTGAAGCCTCTATTTCCACACCTTTTCCAATCATCCAACTATTAAACCCAAATCTATAACTTATGCACTTGAAAAAAAATATGGTTAAATAAGCCAGTATTCAGTCAGAAATCTCTTGAACTGTTTGCACTCTTAATGCGGGACTGCAATTTTGGGACAAAAAAGTTGATCCATTCTTCTGTTTTATTAAATTTTCTATTGGAAGAAGATTAAACTGTCATCAAACTACTGAATTAAGTCTGCAGTAAACTGCATGATTCTACTGCAGAACTTTCTGTTCCCTTCTATTTTCAGGGGATTGAGAGAAGTTTCTGAAATTGAACATTAAACCCCAAATGATGGTGGCAGCTAGATTCTATAAGAAATGTAAGTTCTGTACAGATCACAGCATTCATGGAACATCTAAAGCATTACAGATATCTGGAACTGGTGAGATTTCTCATACTGGTTTAAATTAATGTGTTGTTGGACTTGAGGTTCTCACAACAATGACTGAAGAATTCTGTCTTATGGTATATAATGACATAGTCCAGTAAAAGTCAATTCATTTTTCAGAGAAAATGCGTGCTTCGTGCATCTTCTTAGTTTACTCTTTGTCTTTGAAGGTAAGAGGAGATGTGTCTGAAACTTTGGTTGACTTTCACAAGACTACTTGGCATTATAACAGAATTCTTCTAAGTCATGTGTTATTTCATCATGTTCAGCATTTAGCTTTTTATTCATACTCTTTATGGAACCATGGCTTTATGGCTGTCTATAAAATCATACAAGAATAATTTGTGTATGAAATAAAAAAAATTAGATTATGATCATATTCTTCAGGGATATGAAGCTGTGTAATTGGTAAATAATTACCAGTGCTTCACAAAAACCTGCATCTGTAATACTGACATCCTTCTACCAAACTACACAGAAGATCAGTCTTAATATCTCCTGTCATGAGAACCTCAAATCTCACAAGATGTATGATTATGATTGCTGATGCTGTACAGTCTCAGTACTGACAGTATCACATGATGAACCTAAAGAATTGTATGATTATTTCAGATTTTGACCTTTAGAATACCTGAAAGAAGTCTTAGGAAAATATTTGTCCTCTAATGATCTAAGAATGTTATTTCATGAGTACCTCCATCTCTGAGAATGCAAGAGGTTCATCACATTATCCACATGTTTCGTTCACTGACAGTACAAATGATCAGTGATCAAAAAACTTATTATATGATTACTGATTAATTCCTTTGAGCAAATACTTGTATTTACATTTACATTTCTTACTCATATGAACACATTCCATACTCTTTGCCAAGTATAGTTAGAATGCTCAAGTGGTAAAGGATGAGATTGGTAGGGCATATAGCATGAATGGGGTAGAACAGGAATGCATATAGGATATTGGTGGGAAAGCCAGGAGGAAAGAGACCTCTAAGAAGACCAAGATGTAGGTGGGTGAGTAATATTAAGATGGATCTTGAGAGAGACAGAATAGGGTGGTATGGGCTGGATTGGTCTGGCTCAGGATATGTACCAGTGGAAGGTTCTTGAGCAGCTGCACAAATGGCAGCTTCTCAAGAAGTGTTTAGCTCCATTGAGTTAGTTATGAACACATCCCTGAAGTTCTGCTGCATTCAGGCACAAATGCATTTACAGGAACAGAAGTCTGGTGTAAAAGTTGTGTAAAATGAATGTGGAAAAAATGCATAGAACAGACCTAAATGTTTCTTCCCATGACTCCGCCCAGGCCCATTTATCACAGTGTCATAAGTTATGTTGGGCTACACTGATTAGTCACTTCAGCCATGTACACAATGTCTTCCTGTTAAACAAAAAAGATGCAGTCAAAATGTAATTGTTATAATTACTTATTTTTGGTACATACAGCAGCTTAGAAACTATAAGACACCATTTCTTATTCAAAGAAGCTACAAACTGGAAATTGTGGCTGTATGTAATTTTGACAGAACTTACACAATATCTTAATGGAAATTTTAGATGTTATTCATGTACAGAATGACAATGAACAGGTTATGAAAGCTCATTTATGTTTGTTCAACTGTCTGAAACCTAGTGTCATGCATGTGTGGGGTGCTGTATTGTTTCATATTGGGAAATTCTGAAAAAAAAAAATACTTTCAAGCAGTCAGTTTACATAAGACCTAATTTAATTTTTACATTTATATAAATTAAATATTCCTCACATATTAAAACATCTTACATAAATATGTTCTAACTTAATAAAAATATTTCACGTTACATATGCTTTTAGGCACTCTAACCAAAAATATAACAAAACATACTTCGATATAAATAATGCCTCTAAGGAACTATACAATTATATGTATATACACATCCTTTCGGAAAGACTTCCCTAAAAACTTAATTTCACAATCTAATGTGTTTTCTCTTTAATACTGAAGTTATTCACAACCAAATCACATTTTCTGGTTATAACAAAAACACTGCATACTCTACTCGACCAGACTTTATAGCAGACCTCTTTGAGGTCACCATTGATATTGATTAAAAATACTTATTATGAACTAGTAAGCTTCTAACGTATACTGAAAAATATAAAAGTAACGTCTTTTAAAAAAAAACATATGCTCAGAAGTTGTACTTGGTATATTGCATGAAATTTAAAACATAATCATGATGAAATCAAGCAGTGTATTGGCCAGTTCAGTTCTTGAGCCCTGAGGAACCATTAATGATTTTAAGAATTGCATTTAGAATTAAATATCTATGTGTAGTTATGGAACAGGAGGATACAGAAATAACAGAAACATATATTTTTCATACATTTTTATTCATATATTATTTAGAATGTACAGTTACTTTTCATGATATATATTGGCACTTAAAACTCTTTTTATCCCCCCAAATAGTGCTTATTTATATAAGAAAAACAGCAATCATATGCTGAAAATTGTTCTCTCTGCTTTCGTATGCAGGCAATAATAAATATCTAAGTCAAGATTCAATTTACTGCATTACAGAATCATGAAATTTTCAGAATAAAACACTATTACATTTTGTTCCCCGTATTTGGTAACTATGTGGAATCGGTAAAACATTCTTCCAAGCTGTTTATAAAATATGTTTCCATCTTCATGTCGAAAGTGATTTCAGATACAATTCACATGTCTAATCATATCAATGACAGAAGCATTAGCAAATATTGTGTTGACACAAAAATTCATGAATACAAGAATATGACAATGGTAAAGTGATAAACATTGCCACTTTCTCCAGTACTAAGTTCTTAACTGAATCAGATTATGACATGAAACTATACAAAGCAGACTGGTGTAGCAGTAACACACTTATATTCAGGAGATGCTAGATTCGAATCTAGGTGCGACACTGCCTATCCTGATTGAGGATTTCATGGTTTCTTCAGTACCTCCAAGCAAATGCTGGGATAGTACCTCATTTAGGCTACGCCTCTTTCCACCTAAATCCTTTCCAATTCATTATTCACCAGTCACATCATTCAATGATATCATAAAATTATCCACAAAAGAAAATGACATTAAAGTGCTTATGAAGGAAAGAAAAAACATGTGATAATGGAATGTAAATTTTGTAATTTGATTAAAAACACATAACAATATATTGGTCATGAAGAACCTGAAATATGTGAAAAACCCATTTTCATCTCATGTTTAAATTTTGGCTTATTCTTTGTGACAAAAGCATATTTGAATACTTTAGTGAGGGCAGTATAACAAAACTCAGTGGTTACAAGAAGAAAGTTCCATGAACAGCATAATAATGCATGCCTAAACTTAAATAAAGCAAATTAATAACAAACTGTGACAGCCTCAGTAAAATATAGTGTAATTTAAATTTCACATATAGAAATACTTGGGAAAAAAAAAACTCTTATTCCAAATTTTGTCTCAAAATTAAAGTATGTCATGAATATAATACCCAATTAGATGTATTTAAATTCTGTAGTAATCTTAAAAGCACTGAAGTGAACAGAGAAGTTCATGAAGGTAGGCCTAGGCCCACTGGGGCTGTAGTGCCAAGGAAAAAAATCTTAAAAGCATGTACTGTTACCATTAGCAATACTCCTCGCACTCTTACAAAAAAGTGAAGTTACCTGTGTGGGAACAAGTCATCCTTACAGCTTGCCCACCCAATCCTTGAGTTATTCTTGAAAGGCTAACATATTTTGCATCTAATTTGTTTTAAAAAATATAGAAAACTGGACTCATCTTCTGAAATACTTGTACACACTGGGTAGAAAAGTGATTGAACAAAACTGCCCACGTACCCATGAAACAAGCAAGTGTATTGTAGGAAAGAGAGAAAACTCCTCTTTACTGACGAACATATGAAATAGACCATAGAATTAAATAAGTAAAACTGAATATTATGAAGGCAAGATGAAAAAAATCCAGGATAATTATGTTGCAAACAAGTATAAGGAATGAATGTAACCGAAACATACAATCTGGTTTCTTCAGATATCAATTTCCATAAATGCTGTAGGCACTCTTCAGGTAATATTTGTTTAAAGAAACATACATAGTCATGTCTCATAAAATTATTCACTGGAATGTACTGGAGTGTTGGAAATATTTTTTTTAAAAATATAACTACAATTTGTATTACAAGAGATTACCATGATTGGGTCCTTCATATTTCTGCTCTAACTGCAATAAGACCATACACTGTGCACTGTAAGCATGAAATATATACAGAAAAATAACTCCAATGCTTTGAACTAAATTATCGTCAGAGGTTGATTACTTATTTTAAGGTAAACCAAAAGATCTGTAAACCACTGTCTTGTAATATTGATAACAATGATAATCTTTCTTAGTAACAGTTCCTGCCTTCCCCTACTCTAAATACTGGAAGACATAACAGCAAATAAATAACGACTGTAAAATACGTATATGTATAACTGGTTAGAAACTCTATGTACATTATATACCATAGAAATGAAACTGAGATTTTCATGTTGCAGAATCAAAGAAATGCTAGTATGTGATAGTAACATAGAAGAAAATATGAAGTTTAGGAGCAGAGTCAAGCATTACACTAAACCACAGCTATATTACTGAAATCCTATTGACTATTTAGTTAACAAATTTCAAAATAAACAGCTCAAAATTATCACAGAAATTTCTATATAGGTTTATTTCTGTTGTCCAAGAAGTAATCCGTTCTTAATTTTGTCTGGTGACATATCACAGCTGTCAATTTGCTGGTGTAACCTAAACAAGCAGGCAGGTAACAGCCATCAAGGTAGTATGCCAGTGGGTTAATTAATTACTACTGACATTTCCTAGGTCTTGCTCTTTAAACAAGTTACAACTTCCATGCATGGCTTGTTACATTACATTTTGTGTCTAGAATATTAGTGGGACAGATTAATTTAAATTTGCATAATAATTATATTCCATTTCAAGTCCCAAATTCTTGCAATATATCCCACCCTCACTGCACTGTTAGAAAAGATTTCTTATGGTCAACACAAATTTCATTATTCTTTCCAGATATATAAAGCGTTTATTTATTAAATATCTATTAAGCAGAATAATGACAATAAAAAGAAGATTTATAAATAAAATTATTCTCTAATGATCACCTCAGAGGAGCACTGACAGACAATGTCCTAGAAAGAAGAGTATGTTCATCACTAGGACACAACTAAAGTACATTCTAATGGCCACAGTTGACTTCACTCAGTTTGTTTTACCTCATATAGTGCCTTACAGCTCAATACAAAGCATCAAATTGATCTTAGAAAAATAACAGAAATAAACAAAACATTATTAACACTAGATAACCTCAAAATGCTTGATAAATATGTTAAAACATGATTGCCTCTAATATGAGCAGTATTAAAATTAAATAATGAATAAATTAAGTAAAAGTAATATAAAAATATAATAAATGTCTGTTTCTGTATCACACAACATGCAGTAAAGTGGACTGGCAACACAAGTGTCAGTTAATGGCAGCTTCCACCAAAGTTGAAACTTGACACAAGCTGTAATTCAGTATCTGTAAGCTGAAGAGTTAATTATCATGAATGAATACATTCAGTAATTCTCCTACAGGCACATGATGTTATGGTGATATTGTACAAAAATTACAATGAGGACTGAAGTCAGAACTTTTACTATGGGCAGTATGTGAGTCATGTATTTTTGAACAAATGGTACAGATTTTTAGATACCTTTGATCTTTGGGTTTACTATAAAATTTTATATCATGAAACAGTAACGTATCCCAAATTACACGCACAACAAAACACCAGACTACAAAGGGATGAAGAAAACCATTTGACTTTCATATTAGAGGACTGTGATATCTGCTAACCCATTTTTAGGACAATATTACTCTTAGAAATTCACCTGTTGGGAAACAAAATTCATCTTCATGGACTTATCTGGGTTATGGTTCATTGAACCAGTCTAGAAAAAGGTGTAATTACCTTAAGTTTTAAAAATATTTTACATACAAAGTGATCACAGCATAAGCCTGATACTGAGTCATAATAAGGAGATAATTAACTAAAGTTACTAGGCCTCAGGTTTACTCTATGATTAATGTAACCAAACTCAGTGTTGCCAATTCACTCAATATTTACTATTCTCACAACCTTCCTCTTACAGTTATGACCTCCATTCAGTAGGGTTGCTATTAATATTATTTCAGTTATGAACTTGTGCCTATATACCCCAAGAAATATTTAGCTGATTGCAGGGACGTGATTGAGACTATGTGTACTTGCTAAATGTAAAATAAATACTTAACACAATAACAATAACAAATACAACAGCTACACCGAACAAGATAAGGCGATGCTGCATAGACCGCATTATCATCCCACTGACAATCCTCGAACTTCGCCCCAGCTCAGCATCTGTTTCTCGCAACTGAAATCATAATGCATTTTATGCTGTAATTCAGCCTACTATTAGAAGTAAATTGAGTGAAACTTGACAGGAAGAAAGGGGAAACTCATTCCTCCCTGTCTGTCCCTTTTCTACCTCAGTTGCCTTTCTAAAATCTGTCCAGTTACACATCTGAGAATAACAAATGAAAAATGACATTCACAATAAAATTGCAAGAATAGTCAGGAAATGCTGGCTACTATACAGGAACTACCATAATCCTGTTTTTATTTCCAAAACACTAACATGTAAGGACAGAATGAGCACATAAAAGCAAAAGTAACATGCCTACTCATTAAGAACGCGCCATAGCTCAAGCTGTTAGTCGCTGGCTTCCCACCACGTCGGCCAGGGTTTGATCCCGGGTCTGGTCAAGTGGGATTTGTGGTGGACAAAGTGGTGCTCGGGCAGGTTTTCTCAGAGTACTTCGGTTTCCCCTGCCAATCTTCATTCCACCAATTGCTCCACAATCACCCTCACCTATAATCTGGGACTGGTAAAATAGGCCAGAAGTGGCTGCAGTACAAGGGACTTAGTCCCACCCCACTAGCAATAAAAAAAATACTCATTAAGAAATGAAAAGGAAAAATTGTAGATGATCTTGTTTCATGTGGTCATGAAATATGATTTCATATGTTGAGGGAGAAAAATGAACTGAACATATCTGAGGAAGTGCTCTGGGATGTACTTGGACATATCACATGAGAAATGAAGGAAATTGTATGAATCAGAAATTCATAATTTGTAGTTTAAACAAGTAGTAAAAACAAGCCACATACTGCAGGTTCTATAAAAAGTGCTTCCATGAAATGAATTTATGTTCTACAGGTTGGCTCGGATTGACAATGGCATATATGTATTCACATCCACAAGAAAGCTTGACGTATAAAGGAAGATACAGTGGGATGGGCATGTAGCACAGACAAGGTGAAGGTGTGTGTTGGAAAACCTCTTTGAAAGTAATGACATGGAAGATGACTGCGTTACATGATGAACCTCAGAGTAATGTGTTCTAATGAAGCGACCTGCCACTGAATCATGTTAAAAGACAGCAGTGTTAGTAATTACCAAAGTTAAGCCTTCACTTCTATTACCAAATATATAATCAGTGGCTTTGGGACTCACCCAAACTCATTCCAGCAATTACTACGACTTCAGACACTTTTCTCTATACACCATCAAGGTTTAGTGCTTACAACATGGGAGAAATTTTATTTTTACAATGCAACTAGAAAAATAAAATCCTTACCCTACTTCGAGATTTCTGAATTGTTTCACGTTGAGCATGTAAATCCTGTAACACTTGAGATCCAATTTCTTCTGTCTCCAGAATAATTCTATAACCTGTTGTAAGATGGCGTCCTGTTCGTTCTAGTCTCTCTGAATTATCTAGAAGTCTCAATTTCTGTTCTTCATTCATGCTTACTCCACCTCCATATAAATCATCTTGTCCAAAGAAGCCTAAAACAATAACAATTCATTAATTATTTCTGGGAATATGTTGGAAATTATAATATTACAACCAATAATAAAATAAATACATACCATCCTGAAATGGAGGACTCCGCACTTTCACAAACTCTTGGCTAAGCCTACCAAGTTCTGTCCTGTAACTATCAACTCGTGTCCTCAGGCGTGGACGAGCAGAAGCTTCAACCTCTCGAACTTCCAGTTCCATCTGTTCAAGCTACATATACAGAATAAATCAGAGTAGTATATAAGAGATAAATAATGATGCAAATAAAATTATTTCAGAACTTCACTTTATTTCATCGGTCTCTTACGAAACTCTTGACTAGTAGAAGTACCACTGCCTTGCAGTCAAGTACAAGTTAGTCCTTTATTCTGAGATGATCATTCACAACAAATGAAGCACACAAATCTCTCACCACATATTACTGTTGAAGGCGAAGATTACTGTCTTCTGGGGTATGATACTGTGTAATCTGACAGACGGTTACTGTGAAACGTTAATAGCTAGTTACCAGACTACATGGCTTCAGACCCCAGAAGACAGCAATCTTCACGGTCACTAAGTATAGAATCTTAAATTGTGTAACAGTATATTATATACACACTCACAAGTTCCTGGGCCTCCTCGACATGCCTTTCAACATCAAGAACAAGGGACTTCCTGTCAGCTGTGGCAAGAACAAAATAAAGATTTTCAGTATCTTGACTTTGGCTATCATCAAGTATTCTAGAAACTAGAAAACACAAAAGTTTCGAAAACTGGATGTTGTCATCTGGTGAAGGGAGGGGGGAACATCTACTTCGTTGAGCCCCTTAGAAAGAGCTAACCAGTGACTGAGGATAACTCTTCCTAAGGGACCCAAATGAATAGGTGTCTTCCATCCTCGCCTGAGGACAAAAACAGGTCCAGTTTCATAAACGTTGTCTTTTCTAGCTTCTAGAATACCGGACAATGAACAAAGTCCAAAAATGCAATAATTTTGAATATTATATACCATCGTCACAACCCTTCAAAAGCTACAATACAAAGCTGGAATCATAAATGACATCAACTTATGATAAAACTAATTCATTGAATTACACACAATTATGTCACATACCGCCGTGTAATGAAGTTAATTTTCCGATTTTGGCAGTAATATCGGCTGTCAAAACTGCATATTGTTGCTCATAATTCTCTATCAACGACACCATTTTTCCTTCGTCTGTCAAAATCTACAACAGAAATCCAGTACAATAACTGAAACCCATTCAACGATAAATACTCTCTTCTTATTTTTCATTCACTGACGCAATTTGTCACAGATCATACTACGGTATTTAGCTTGTACTTTGACTGAAAATGGCTATCCAACTATTTCTGTGAGTGCAAAAATACAGATCACATATAGACTATATATCATCAACCTCGGCAGTTGCAATGTATAAGAGGAATTTACGTGAGTAGATTTGTGCACTCACGAATATAAACGAGAAGTTTTAGGATTTTTTATTCAAACAGTGGTGGTTGTGACGTATATGCAATTTAACACCGTGTAGTCCGCTGAAAGTAAACCGACGTTATGGAGAAACATGCCAGGATCGAAGAATTAGCCGAGAATAAAATTAGAGTGAAACAGATAGCATGCAGAGTTGCTACCTGCTTCATATTCCTTCGAAACGTCCGTCGTCAAACGGACTACACAGCGCTATATCCCAGAAGACAGAACTCTTCATAATCACCTTTGTTTGAATCTCAAATCGTACAATATCTCGTTTATTTTCATGCGTGCACATACAGATCCCTGAAAATAGAACTCTTCCAAACGAGGTGCCATCCACCAACCGATTTCAGTAAGTAATCTATGGAGGTGATCCGTGACTTAGACTTACTGGTTCTGCCGCTAGAGGCTCTAGAGTTACTGCATTGAGAAGTTATATTTTGTTTCGTTGGTCGCAGTGAGTCCGGGAATTCCGAGGTGATTTGAGTGTTTTTGTGGGTGTGAGTGCTATAAACGTACAGAAGAGGTTTTATAGATTCATATATCTTACATAAATGAGTGCTTTATGAACTGTCAGCTGCGTTGGGACGAGAAAGTACTATCTTGTCGATTCAGCAGTTACAACTGTGTTGTTGTGTTTTGCTGTCTGCATCTGTAGACGTCTTGTGTAACTATATTGGAACATCTCGACTATTCCGGTTTTCTGGCGTCGTGTTAAAATATTGTAACGTGACAGTATTATAAAGAATCTAAAACATATTAAGCATAATGGGGAAACATGAAAAGGGTACCCCCAAATATATTGCAAACAAAATAAAGGCGAAAGGCCTCCAGAGACTTCGTTGGTATTTTCAGATGTGCCAGAAGCAATGCCGTGATGAGAATGGTTTCAAATGCCATATGATGTCAGAATCTCATCAGCAGCAACTTCTTCTGTTTGCTGATAATGCAGACAAGCACATTAATAATTTCAACAAAATTTGAAAGCGGTAATCTAGAACTATTAAAACGTCAGTTTGGTACAAAACGTGTTTATGAAAATCGTGCATACCAGGACTGTATCTCCGAGCGCAATCATTTGCATATGAATTCTACTCAGTGGGAAACATTGACCGACTTTGTGAAATGTCTTGGAAGGGAGGGAAAGTGCGTGGTGGATGAGACTGAAAAAGGATGGCATGCACAGTATATAGACCATGACCCAGAAACCATTGCAATACAAGAAGGTCTTGTCTGCAAGGAGAAAATGATGGCATTTATTGAAAAGCAAATTGAGAAGGGAAAAGAATGTTCCAAGAATGACACTCATGTCTTCACGGAGTTTGTGCGACCACCTGAGGAACAGAAAGTTGTTGTAAATTTGAAGGTAGAAACAAAAAGCGATGGTGCCATGAAAAATGAAACTTTGGTAGCAAGTAATGCATTGAAGAATGACTACAAAAGATGAGAGTGTTCTTCAGCAGTAAACAACAAAGACTCAAAGGGATCTGGAAGAAGGAAGGGTGAAAAGAGGAAATTATCAGCCCTAGATGAGATTATTAAAGATGAAGAGAACAAGAGAGAACGTATAAACAGAAGGGACTATTGGTTGGTGAACGGAATTGTTGTGAAAGTGATAGGAAAGTCTCTGGTTGACAAATACTACAGGAATAAAGGTGTTGTGACTGGAGTGCCAGATAAATATTTAACTACTGTAGCCATGTTAGATAGTGGACACAAACTGAAACTAGACCAAGAACATCTTGAGACAGTGATACCAGCAATAGGACGACCTGTTTGTGTTGTAAATGGTGCTTATCGTGGTTGCAGTGCCATACTTAGGGAACTGGATCAGAAGAAATTCTGTGTGACCATCGAAATATCCTCAGGTCCTTGAAGGGCAGAGTAATGGACAAAGTTGAATATGGAGATATCTGTAAATTATGTAATGTACATATTTGAATATGATATAATAGTAATGTGACATATTCGCAGGTCCATAGAAAGTTTGATCCAATAAGAAGTAATAAGAACAAACTATAATTTTAGCTACAGTTTTGCTACTCATTGCAGTGAGATATTAATTCTGTAATCCAGTTAATGAGCCATCATTGTAACATCTCCAGTGAATTATGAAGTGTTACCAATGAGAAGTTTAACTGTTGTTCTTCATTTCATATAACTGTAACGAATGATATAGGAGCTGTGATTGGGGATCAGAGTTCAAGTCCCAGTAGGGTCAAGAATTTTCTTCGCATGGCAGTGTGGAATGATGAAGTGTGCTCCAAAGCAGTGGCTAACCAGTCCCATCATAGGGTGATGAAATTATAGGTAGAATGAAGACAGGTTAACAACAGCCAGTAGGCTTCTTGCCTGAAATATGCTGGAAATAAGGACAGAGAACAAAAGTCTCTGAATTTTCTTCTAAAAATGCAGTGTTGGCAAGTACTAATTTTGTTATATTCTTGAAATTAATTTATGGAATGAATGTTGATGTGAGTTGTGCAAAACAGCACAAATTTTCATTTTGTGAATTTCAGCATGGTGTATTTGAATAATTATCCATTCACTGTCATGAAACTTGCAAATGATATAAGAAGTAACAGCACTTACTGTACTGTACTGCGTAAGTTTAAGCTTTTTTTTTAATAAGGAAACTAACAAATCTGGTTTTGGCTTACAGACCATTCAGCCATATTTTTGAAGAACAGAAAACATTGTCATGATCCCTGCACTAAACAAATGGAAAATTTAATTTAATACATGTAGTACCATTGAAATAAATCACATAAGACAATAGAAACGAATGTATTAAAGTGGATATGTTGTAACCAGCATATAGCAGCATAATATGTAAGTATGTCTGTTCACAACAAGTTTATACTTTCAATAAGTGCTAGAATCAAATTGTCAACAGGTCAGTTTGGCTTATTAAAATATTTCAACACAGCATGATTCAGTCCTTTATGACCATCATCAGGCATTTATAAAGAATAAAATGCATCCATGTTCATTCATAACCTGCAGTACACAATGGAGCCATTGCTAACACTCTTTTCATATACAAAGATGTTACATAAGATTATGATGTTTAAATATATTAAAATACTTGTTGAACATTAGTAAACCTTGTGTATAATTATTTGTTATTCTTATTTTTAATTTTTACTAAAAATTGTCTTATTATGTATAAGTTTTTTGTATTGGGGGGTGATAATATGTTTCACACTTTTTTTCCCTTATGGGGATGTTGTCTTTGATGGCTATGTGTCATGTTCTTATATGCTATGTTTTTAGCATAATGGAGTTTGTTTCTGGTTCTTTCTGTTGAGATGTTATGACTTAGTTGATTCTGATGTTGTGATGGTTATGCTACTGAGAATGAACACTTTAGTATCTTAATAAACTAAACTGATTTCTCAACAAACATATTTACATATTAGTGACATACACAACAGGATGCTAAACATGCATGTGACCTTTGAGAAGCAAGACTTCTTACCAAGGAAGGAGCAACCAAGATTCCTTCCCCACACATGGCCATTGCACACTAATCACTAGGCTGTCTCTTGTGAGAGGAACACTATTAAGTAGGATTTTGGAAACCAATAGTGGGACGGGTATCAACATGATGAAGATTGTAGGAGAATTATACTTTGTGATTGTTGGCAGCCCTGGAGCAGCAACTGCCAGAGAATGTGACACATAACAAGGAGGATCCAGGAATGCCCTCCTCCTCCCTCCCTTGTGCATTCCATCAACAGGGAGGTCATGTTACTGGGCGCCAGCAGCAAGGAGGCTGTGAAGCAAAAGCGCGTGTTGTCTCTGAAGCAGTGAGTTTTGAGGTTTCCGTAGCAATGAATATTTATATTGTGATCTTCTGGGTTAAGACACTGTGTGGCTTGTGGGTGGGTATCAGTCTGGAAGCTGCAGGCAGTTATGTTATTCTGAAATGCTGGAACTGCATGATACCCCAACCCAAAAGATCACAATATGGAGGAGTGTGCTGTTTGCAAGTTGACGCTTGGAGGGACAGATTCATTTGCATGTTGATTGCTGATGCACATCTGGTGGGTGTATCATTGTAATGGTTTGCTGTGAATCTAGCACAAATGCTGTTTATGAATAGGAATTTGCAGCTGTGTCAGGTTTCATGCATAGTGTAACTCTCTTAGGTTTAGAGTTTGTTATGTTAGAAATAATTATATTGGAAATTTATAGCAAGAAGTTTCTGATGTACTGAAATAATATTCTTTGGATATGGTGGTCCAGTGCCTCATATACTTACTTTAAGATTATGGAAGGATTGCTCCATGCTGTCATGAACTGTTGTTACCTTTAATGCAAGTAACAAGTTGGACATCCTCTGAAAGATGTTTGTTCTTGTTGATAGGAAGTTGGTGGCATCCAGTGAAGGAGTCATTGTTCCAACGATGTTATTTTGTTCAGGGCAGACAAGGCTTCAGATTCAGGAGTGATATGCAGCAAATTCTCCCCCTGTTACTGTGCGCCAACTGCAAGGAGCTTCTGCAGCAAAAGTGCGTGTCACACATGAACCTAATTATGCGGTGTGTTGTGTAGAAATTGACAGTCAGTGGGGCTGCTTCAGTTTGCACAGTGCAGTGAAACCCCAATTTAATGTTCCATTTCAGTGAGCCAAAGTCAGTCCCTCCATTTAAGATTTTCACCATCTTACTGTCCAAATGTACTTCTCCCAGAGGAAACCTTAAATACGGGTTTCACAGTCATCAGCAGGGCCCAGATTTTGATGACCTGAAAATATTTAAAAAAATTACCTAAAATATGACCCAAAATGTAATATGCAGGGCCCGGATTTTGATGACCTGAAAATATTAAAAAGATGACCTATAAAATGACTGAAAAAATCCATAAAAATGACCTAGAGGAGAAAAGAAAGAACACTTCACTTCCATGTTATTCACATTTCAGAAAACATATGAAGAAAAATTCCCAAAAATGGCCAAAAATGACAAGAAATACCCTTAAAAGTCCAAAAAGTTACCCCTCAAATGAAAAAATGACCTTAAACCTAGAAATGTCAAAAAATGACAAAAATTACCTATAAAATTTACATTTCTGTAACCAGGAGCTCATATTCAAGATTTATATATTTAAGAGCATCGCATAGGATACAAGGAAAAAAAGATGACATGTCATTAAAATCTGGGCCCTGGTCATCAGATATGTACTAAAAGTAAAAAGGTAAAGTTGTCCCTGCGCTTAACTAATTAAACACTACACCATGAAAGCATATGGAGGAGTGGGTGTATAGAGTCACGTTTTCTTGACCTCAGCACTAGTTAGAGGTGAGTGGTCAGCTTCACGCCCCTGCCGCTTTACCTCTGGGGTAAGTTATTTGAACTTTATTATGTTAGTGGTTTGCAACTCTGATGTGTTGAGAGCTTGTAATGTAAAGAGTAATTTTAGCAAAAATAACCAGTTACTGCACATCAGATGTTTGTGCTTTCATGTGACCTGTCTTGCACTTGGAGGGCTTGTGCTTTCATGTGACCTGTCTTGCACTTGGAGGGCTTGCTTACTAAGATCTGCTTCATTTAATTAATATTTCTGATGTGTGTGCGTGTGTACACACACATTATGGTAAGCAGAAGTGGTAATGTGCATATCTTTTTAGGTTCGAGACTACATATGGCACTTCCCTACATGAATCTTAATAGTCCTTAGGAACTCTCTGATTTTGTGTAAATCAGAGTGCAGTAAGATGAGGTCCACATGTGTCATGTACATTTACTTACCTTCCTCTCACATATGCTTTGATACTCATTTGATTCCAAATCTGTGTAGTGGTTTTGTAATGGAATGATATTACTCTGCTCGGGAAGCGGGGAGACAGGGAGGAAGAGTTGTAACTCATTAAACAGATGGTTTGGAATGGGAGTGAACAAAGTCTTTTCAATTTTAGGACCATGTCATGTACATGTTAATATTTAAACATTAAAGATTATATATTTACTCCTGCCAAGGCATCTTACACACTGGCTAGAAATGAGATGAATTGTATCTTAAACAAATTAACATTCTGGAACCTCAATAGGTTAGAAGGTGTAGTGATGTATTACAAGCTGCATAGCCAGGGTTCAATTACCCATCTAGTGGGTGCACTTTGCCTGGGGTGTGCTCTGGTGCTTAATTGAGCACAGAGTGTCCGCTGGGAATTTTGCAGTCCTGGTTTAGACGTCGGTTACAGTAAAGCAGAGAAGCTGCTCAGATGATTAAATCGAAGATGGCTCATTGGCTTCTTTTACATAATTTTTATTTGGGTGTGACTATTATGTTTCCTTAAGCCAAGTTTTCTGAATATAAAGTTAATCATTGAAAGTATGAGAGTTTGAATCATACAGTCAAGGCAACAGAGGTGTTAGGTAAAAAGGAGGCCTGTCTTCCATTTCTTAGGAACATGATACTTGTCAGCAGGGCTCTGTCATTGCAAGATCAGTAATGGCTGGTAATACTCAAGTGCAGTGTGTTTATTTGTAACTGAAAAATCGTTCCTTACAGGACCACTTTTCAGATCAACCTACTGCCCCTACTCCTCCCTGTTTTCAGTTACTTGTGGTCGGTACAGTGTCATTGTATGGTGTAGATGTAACTTAAGAGGGATGCAGTAAGTTTTTGTGCAAATTATAAAAATTCTGATTTTGTCTTGTTTGTTCACAGGTTGGTGAGAACAAAAGGAGACCTGCAGAGGGCTTCATGCTGGAAAGGATATATCTGGGGTCCTGCCGAATTTTATTTTCTGAGAGATAGTGCGCCAAAGGAACTTCAGTTCTTCCAAGTGCCATGCATCAGTGATGCACCCCACTCCTCTTGCTTCAGCAACTCGCGTTACATACAAGTTCAGGCGTAAGAACCACCACTCACTTTTTTTCACATTCATCCAGCTGTAAATTATATACACAATCAATACATCATCCAAAAACACATGCTACTACTCACATTGAAGTGAAAAATGGTAGAAATTATATAGTTTGGAAAAGACAATTTGTGGAGGGAGTTGGAAGTGCTTGAAGAAGAGTATGCAGTATGTTGCTCTAGAAGAGTTGCTGGAGAAAGTTGAAGTTTCTTGTGCACATTATCTTGTAGAAAATAAAATTGCACGGCACTGCACACTTCCTCTCCAGCACGTTGACTCTGATGCCTCAACCCCCCCCCACACACACACACACACACACACAAAGCAAAGCCAAAAGGCTACTATTAGTTTTCATCATCCTCTACCAAATAAATAAAGCCATCATTTAGTCAAACAATTTTAGTTTTAATAATTCAAAATCTTGTTATACCATTTGACCTTTTCAATAGAATGTGGAGAGAGAAAGTTTTGCATGTTGTTGAGCACTCTTGTGTCTGGGTTAAGGTTGCTATCTGTTTGTTTTCTCTGCTAAAGAAAGGTAAAATATATATAAACTGCACATTATGACTGTACAAAACGTAACAGGCACATTGTATGTAGGATTACAGGCTCTCATGCCAGTGGTTATGAAGAATTCTGTTTAGTTTGTTGAAAGTCAACTGACATTTCAGAGGAACACGTTACCTCCACCTTCAGGGCTGACGAACAAGCCAAGTAAGAAACCAGTGTGAAGCAGGTGGCAAGCAGAAAAACTTTAATGTTTATATGTTTTGTACGTATTGGTACTAGACGAAACAAATAGATAACCACCCTAGCCCAATAGCAACATTACTGAGTAACATGTAAAAGTTCATCTGTACTACACATCCTGCAGAAAAGGTCTAATGATGGTGTAAGATTCTGGTCTAGAAGACCGAGATTAACAGCCGTGGGAATCTGTTGCGCTGACCACGCAACACCCTCTGTCTGCAAAAATTGACACTAACTTCACCGACAAGCTGCGGTCAGTCGGTATAGTTCGCTTGCAGACTAAAAGCCTTGGAGATGGTGTAAAATTGATGCCAGAACATGTAACCTTTGAATTATTACAGACCAAGTTGCTTGGCTGAGCTTTTTAACTAACACATTTATATCTACTGAACAGAATGGAATGGAGTAATTTAAGTTTACAAGTTAACAGATCAAGCTTACTGTAGGACAATACTCAGGTAAGAAAATATCTGTTGCATTTTGGATAATGGAGTTCAGTTCATTCTTGAGTTCATCAGTGTCTGTGATGACATTCAGAATTGACTGAAACTGATTTGAAAATGGAAGCATTGTTAGGAATAGGTTGTGTAGATTGACAGGTACAGTTCAAAGACTTCTGGTAGAACATCCATCCATAGTTACTGATCTATCCCAATTTGGCCTACTTTCCTTATTTTTAAAAAAAATAATTGTAGGCATGTCTCTTTATCCTCCCCCCCCCCATTAACCTTTCAGTGCCTGAACACATGTCTATGAAACATAGTATGCATATCATAACACCTGAGCCCATTTCAAAGGCACTCTTCATAAATCCCTCCCATCAGCCTTTGTGTCTGTATGTGTGTCCCTCTACCTTTGCTAGGCAGGGGCTTAGTAAAAATGTTACCACAGCAATGAATACATGCAACAGTAGAATTGTTGGGTGCATCATTTTCTGTACTTAAACTTCTGCAAGATTAAATTTATTTGGATTTGAGTTGACAAAAATGTTGTAGTCAAATGGAAAATATCTTCATGAGTGTTTAGTAATTAGAACCCTACTTTTATTATAATTTAATGAATAGTATATTCTGATAGGGTTCTGACAATGGTGTGTAACACTCAGAATTACTGGGTTTTTGGACTTGTCTATCACTTGGTATTCTGGAAACTAGAAACACAACATTTTGGAAACTGGATCTGTTTCTGTCCTCAGGTGAAGGGTGGGGGGCAGACTCCTACTCAGTTGGGTCCCTTAGAAAGAGCTAACCTCACTCACTGGACAAATTGAGGTTAGCTCTTTCTAAGGAACCCAATTGAGTAGGAGTCTTCTCCCCCTCACCTGAGGACAAACAGATCTAGTTTCTAGAATAGCAGATGGACAAAATGCAAAAACCCAGTAATTCTAATGAATAGTATGTTTAGAAGAAATGTTTGCAGAAACATTTCAAAGTTCCTATACTGTATTAAGGTCCTTGTAGGTTAGCACCAGACCAAAATAATTAACATATTTTCTGGAATTTTAGGATTCTTTTTTCCCTGGAAAACCCCATCTAAAATTTGTGTGCCTGTCCTGTCATGCCTTGAAGGGAGTAGTTATTTTACTGGATTCCCTTATTGACCGCAGCCAGTTAGAAGTTTCTATGGGACAATCTAGATACAGAATAATTCAACTGCTTATTTTTTCCATGTGCGATATATGATACAACAGCTTCTGCCATGCCATTATGCTTCCCTTGTGTTCTTAATCTGTTGTCATTTCCACCAGGCTGGACTGCCTTGTGGTGAAGCCATTTGTTATATTTATTCAAGTGGGCATACACACACAGACACATATAAAATATGCTGATTTCACCCCTTGCAGTTTGTTGCCTCTGAACCTTTATCATCTAGGAATACCTTCCTACCATTCAGCACTACAGCACTGGGTGAGCCTTGGCCTCCTCTACAACCATTCTCCACTGCTCTCTATTCCTCATCTTCTCTTTCCAACCTTTCACCTTCATCTTCAGGTCGCTCTCAACATCGTCTCACCATCTTATCCTGGGTCTTCCTTTTCTTCTTTTGGAATATAGCCTTCTTTTTAACATTTTAACATCTTACTATATCTTCTCCTTTTGGTTATCTCTTCATTGTATCTTATCCTCCATATATTATTTTCCATCACTGGTCCATATATTTTGCGTATTATTTTTCTCTCAAACATTCTCAGTGCACCCTCTTCTCTTACTGTTAAGATCCATGTTTCTGCCCCATATGTAGCAATAGGTCTTATTAATGTTTTGTATACTTGTAGCTACTCTTGATATTATTTTACTTTTAAGTGTACTAAGATTTGTGAAGTAGGCCCTGTTTCCAGCTTGTATCCTTTCCTTAACACAATTATCTTTTCTATTTCCATTATTGAACATATTTCCTAAATATTTCAAACTACTCACTCCTGTAAATAATTTCCCTTCTACCTTTAAATCTTACGGTTTCCTTCTATCTTCCCTGCTTTTCCTTCCATTTTCTTATATATCTCGATTATATTTTCTCTGGATCTAGCTATTATGACAATGTCATCGTCATATGCACATATTTGGCTTGATTTTGCATAAATTGTTCCTCTCTGATCAGTACTCTATATTACACTGTGTAAAGCCACCATGAATAGTACTGCTGATAAACCATCCCCTTGCTTGAGTCCAGCATTAAATTCAAATCTTGCACTTAGTTTATTATTTATTTTAACTTTTGCCCATGTAATATTAATTGTCATTCAAGTTAGCCTGATTAATTTACCTGGAATTTTCATCTGTTTCATCACTTCATAAAGTCTTTCTCTGTTAACATTGTTCAATGCTTGTCTAAAGTCTACAGATAGCATATGCAAGTCCATGCTGTGTTCATAACACTTTTCCATCATTTGTCTTACAAAGAGTTGGTCAGTTGTACATATCATCATCATCACTGGCACGACAGCCCTTTGTGAGCCCTGGCCTTCCTCAGGATTGCTTGCCATTCTTATTTGATGCTACATTCCTCCAGTTCTTTACACCCAAAATTCTTATGTCCTGCCTCACACATTCTTCCCATCTTAATCTTGGTCTTCCCACTCTCGTATTAATGTCTGGTTTAGCATTAAGCATTTTCTTGATGGTTCTATTCTCGCTGGCACGTATTGTGTGTCCAGCCAATTCAAGCCTTTTCACCTTTATAAATCCAATAATGTCTGGTTCATTAAATAGTTTGTATAGCTCATGGTTATACCTCTTCCTCCATATTCCATTTTCTTCAAATTTATCTCAAGATCCTCCTTTCAAATATACTTAACAGTCTTTCATCTGATCTTGACAGTGGCCAGGTCTCAGAGGCCAGTTGTACTTCTGTTTGGGCAAAATCCGCATTGACTCTCTCCAAAGATCTTTTTGGTTACCATCTTTAACCATCCATTTATTGCATTAGATAATATACGCTATGTTCAGTAATGTGATTCCTCTGTAATTTCCACATTCTAGTTTATATCCTTTTTTTTTTTTTTTTTTAGAATGGCNGAATGGGACGTTTGATTCCTGTGGGGATTTAAATCTCCCAGTACTGCAGCATTGGTGGCTGCAGTTTAACTTTTGGAAAGTGATATTTATATTGAAAAGAGTGAGAAAAGGCTTTCTGGACCAGCACATATGCCATCATAAAAGAGCAATGCATGGACAACAAATGTTTAAAAATATTTTCACTGTTTTATGTGTAACAGTTTTGCTGCATTTAGAAGTGTGCAGGGCACTACAAATGAAAGTGTTCCACTAGAAATATACACAGTGTTCCAACACTAATTGTAAGAACAGTGCTTGTATGAAGGTGAACGAAGCTCACATCCCGCTCTCCTGCATCTCAAAAGATCCTGTTACGTGTGCTTGTGAAGAGAGATGACTTGATATGGCTAATTAGTTTCTTATACTACTGATCAGCATATATGCACCTGTTTTCAAACATGAGAATGTAAATAGTGACTACACTGACATTATTTAAGGAAAGAAGTAGTCAACTTGTTACTGTTGTCATTATTTGGTTATGGAACCAACTGACAAACTGCAGTGTAGGTAGCAACATGTGCAGTGAAATGTCACTTTGTTCAAATGAGGATTATTTTTTGCAAATTCATAAAAAATATAATTATAGATTATTGTATTTTCCATGAGCTATACACAGAACAATATGTATTGTATATTCATATGTAAAGGTTATCTGTGTTCTGAAGGTGCAGTCCAAAAGCAGAGTGTGAGGTACACCTCTGATGAGGCTGTACTCATTTATGAAATTGTAAAGAAAATGATGTACCCCTCCTCATCATAATTATAATTCTGAAGTAATTCTCTGGCTACTGCAATCCTAGCAGGCAGCAGTGGCTGGAGAAATGTACCCCACATTCCTTTCCAGAAAAACAAGCAGCATTGCATTCCTACTGAGAGGTATCCTGGGAAATACATAGACTTTCAGGATCTATACAGACAGGTAATGTATTGGCGAGGCATGTAGATGCTGCTTCCTTGTAAGTATTAAAGTCAGTCAATACAACTATGAAAAAATGAAACATGATTACATCTTTTTTAAACGTATGTAGTCAACCTACTCAGCTGTTGTAATTCTGGGATACAAACTAGAAATTTCCAATGCTATGGCCTAGTGAATTTGTTACTACCTATGGTATTCCTGGACACTACATGAGCACATCAGAAACAGTGAATTAGTAGGTGGCTGTTAGGATAGTGGAGGAGGTATGAGGCTCCACACACTGTTGCTGTGTCAGCAAAGTGGTACATCTTGCCACCTAACTTATTTGAACTTCCTGTCTCCAATGAACAATGCTCAGAATTTTAAACCTGCAGTATTTCCCAATCGTGATGCTATACTCACAAAAACGTCATTTAGACTTCTGATCCCGTATGAAAATTATGTTCGACATAAAAGTGCTGTACATCTCCATACTGATGCTAATACCCGAATAAATAGTTTATTTCCAATGCCTTCAGCCTATTCCTCTAAAATAATTAAATTTTTTATCTGGGTATTAGGACAGTGGAGGAAGTATCAACCGCCTTCCATTGTTGTAGTCGGCAAAGTGGCATATCTTTGCCGACTTCCATCTCCATTTTGTTTCTGCCCCCCCCCTCATGAAATTAGAAGTTGTAGCTTCCGAATTAGCAACAAAATGGAGATACTAAAAGTGCATTATACCTCCATGGTGATGCTAACACCCGGATAA